AACAATCTTACAAATTCTGGATATATCGGGATCTTCGTCTTGAATTTCATCTGCAGCTCTCAAGATAGCATCTATGTCTTGGTTGTTTGCAAGCGATGAAGGAACATATCCAACAATACTGCCCTGACCAGGACCAACAGCAGCAGCTCCTGTTCTTTCTCTACGTAACGCGGCGTGCACCAGCCGCTCCCATAAATACTCAGCTCGAGACATTTTCTAAGGATGAAAGATCCGAGAAATCAACAAAGGTCTGCAGCTCTCAAGATAGCATCTATGTCTTGGTTGTTTGCAAGCGATGAAGGAACATATCCAACAATACTGCCCTGACCAGGACCAACAGCAGCAGCTCCTGTTCTTTCTCTACGTAACGCGGCGTGCACCAGCCGCTCCCATAAATACTCAGCTCGAGACATTTTCTAAGGATGAAAGATCCGAGAAATCAACAAAGGAAACAAATCTTTCAACGCAGGTAATCGCTAATTGATAAATTCTGCAAGAAAGAGGAATACATGGCAAAAGGGCATGAACGAATGCCAAGAGTCAAGAAAGCGCAAGAAAATTCACAAGTTCGGACAAGATGCCGAAACCTAAACTAAAGAAACCGAGATTTTCCGGCAATAACTTAAAAAGAACAAAGAAACAAGATTCGCCATTTCCGTAAATCAGTAGGAATTAACAACTTAACCGTGTAAAAGAAAAAAAAAACAAACTTCGGATCCGGAATCTGGGCTTTTCTCGCATCAAACTTTAAACACCGAGGGGGGAGAAACAATCCCAGAAACCAAAGGCGAGAATCACCTGATTCGGAAATGTCGAAACCCTAGATTCGTAATCGAAACCAAGTTGAATCAGTCATGTGAGAAGAAACTACGAAGGGTTTAACGAAGAAAGCGAAGCTCTTTCGCTTTCCTCTCTCTCTCTCTCTCCGAGTTTGAAAAGCTGGAACGGATCGAAAAAGATCAAATTGAATTGAAAAACAAAGGTAATGTATAAATGAAATTTAAAGGAAAGAGATGGTGACCGGTTTTACCGGCTACAGCAAGTAACGTACAGGGAGGAGGCACGTGAGAACCACATGAGTCTTCTCCCTTTGACTTGACTTCGAAAGAAAAGGAAAATTAAGAAAATTTTGAGAACTGTTTAATATATATTTAAAAATCCAATATGAAATATAAATATTAAAAATTTTCAGAAAAATATTTAAAATTTAGACAAGGTAAAATGGATTTTTTATTTTTAATATACTATTGCATATTGATTCGAATTAAGGGAATTATAAATTATTATCAATTCAATCTTAAAAAATCTGATAAGAAAAATTGTACAATGTAGTTAATATATAACATTAAACTAAAAATGTAGTTAATATAGGAATCAATAAATTTAATTCATATAAAAACTAATGATTTAAAGTAATTTGATTTTTAAATGATCTATAAAGATGTAGTTTGAGTTTATGTTATTCAATTTTTTTTTCAATTCAAAAAATTCGTTCTTAAATGTAAAATTCATAGTTGCACAGTATATTTTAATTATAAAACTATAGAAATTGAAATATCAAACTTCTATGATTATATGATTCCATGATTATATGCTTATGTGACGCAAAATTCTATAATTTTCTTTAACAGAAATTTCATTTTCATCGCAAAAAAAGTACAATTATATATAGAAGTAGTATTCAGATTTTGATCTATTTGATTTATTTTTAGATCTTTCTATTTTTTAAAAATTGCCATCCATTTAACTATTTAAATTTTATATTGGATTTAGATTTATTTTGATACAATAAATTTAGTGTTGAAATTTTTTATTGAAGTATATATAAGTTATGTTTGAATTCGATAAAACGAATGATATCTTCTTATAATATATTAAAAAGGTTAAAAGCAAAAAGAAAAAATATATGAAAAAAAAAAGAGATAAAGACATAAATATAAAAAAATCTAAAATTTCATGAAAAAGAAGAGGTGTGTTACTGGTTTTACTGGCTATAGGAGGTCATAGACGCGGACGTTTGATTTGTAAGACGCGGAGAAGAGAGACACGTGACGACTTTGATGAAGTCGTCCCGTTGTCACGTGACCATGTAAAACCGGACCACCAGGTAAATCATAGCCGAATAAAAGAAAAGGTAAATAAACCACATGATAAAAAACTAAAAGTTACATTTAGTAATATTTTATTTTAAAAAATATGAAAAAAATCACATAAAACAAAATTTGTTTAATAAAATAAGATGAAACTATAAGCAAAATTAAAATTAAAATTACATGACTACAAAGAAATAAAATACAGAATAATATAAGATTACATGACTAAAAATATATTATATATTATTTTTTTAAGAAAAATTATCTAAAAAAGTTTTCTTACGTCAAATCACATTTCTAAAAATTAACCACACGGTTGCGGAGAACAAAATCTTTGTAATGGTGCTACCCGTTGACATAACAAAGTCCACATTAGCATTTGAAACCAAACAAATAATTTGTTGCAGAAATTTCTTCCCAAGTATCCAGCTAACATTTGTATGCAACCGCAAATTTCTTATTTTCTCATCTATGATCGCTTGTAAGTTGGACTCGAGATTCATAAAAACGATATACAGACAAGCAACTGAAGTATGAAACGAGGTTAAAGAGTCTCGAGATGAAGTTTACACCATTCTTTCTTGTCCAAAATATATCCAAGCCTGAGATCTTCTTCACAGTTAGTACCGACTTTCCAAAAAAAAATAAAAGTACCCGAAAAACCTAACGATGTTAAAATTATCCAAAGAGAATCCAAAATCAACAATCAAGAGATATCTAATACAACAGAAGCAATCTCAAATCTAAACTCCCATATTTCTGATTTCATCAACGTACCCTTTTAGATGAGACTGTGAAACTGAAACTGGCGACTGAATGGATGGATGGATGGATGGATGGGGGAATCAGGTGAGAGATCTGCCTGCCCATTCTCGTTCTCGTCGTTTTTGTTTCGCTTGCATCTTATTGAACTTTTCTTTCCCCTTTTCGAGAAGCGGGTCAACGACCATGTAGGCATCCGGGTCATCCTTTCGAGACATATGATCCTACAGGACAAGTTTTACACGTTTCAGGTTTCTCAAGAGGATCATGAAGAGATTTGATGAAGCTTCAGCCCCAGGTATCTTAACTGAAATGAAAAGTAGCATATGAGTAATGGAAACTTGGACGTTACCTTGCCACGCTCGGGTGCAAACTTCAGCTTTACTTTCTGCCAATCCGAAAGATTTTCTTTAGCTTCTTCAGATTCACCTTCTGTTTGTTCAGGGTTTGTGGAAATTGTCTGCTTAAACTTCTCAAGTTTTGCTAACACCTATATAGGGAGGAAACACAGATCATCAGTACAGAGAATAAAAACACTTTAGAACACAACGGTACGGTTATAACCACTAGCACGGATGACGGAAATATGAAATATGATATTCTGTCCGACATAACAGAAATTCATATCGGTTGATAGCAAAAATTTTAACGATCCCAAGAAACAGGAAAAGGAAGAACATAATGAACGAGTGAATATAGATGGAAAATGAGAAAGAAAAACATTATAACAACTCACATCATCTTCACGTCCTTGCAGTCTACGCCTTTTCAACTTCTGCAATAGCCTCGCCCGTTCAGAGTCGTTGTAAAGCTGCAAGTCTGTGTCCGCTTTTGCAATTCGTTCGGACCTGACTTCTGAACCTAATCCCTTTTTCCTCAATGATAACTTTTCAACCTTTGGTTTGTCATCATCACTACTTGCATCATCCGATCTGAACAAAACCATATAGCAAAAACAAAACAGAACCATTTAACAAGGTTTTACCCCATTAACATACAGGTACCTGCAATGCAAGAAAAACGATGTTGAGATGCACACACTGAACTAGTGGGCACAGCTGAGAAGATTCACGATGGCAAATACTGATGAATTCCCGTTTAAGTTTTAAAGCATAAAGCATCTCGGTATAAATATCAATTTACCCGAGAATAGATTTAGAATTTAGCCTTTCCAGTTTACCAAGTATGGAGATGAGATGAGAAAACAAAAAACTTTAAATTGAAGCTAACTGAAAAGGTTGGGCCAATGTGAAATTGTTTTGTCTAACCATGTCTGTAAACAATATGAGTCTCTTTGCTTGAGCCAAGGGATGGAAAGAAGAGATAAACTACACTCTATATGAAATGAAGACACAGACTAATCACATGGAGGCAGTAAACCCTTCAAGGCAGGTGCAAAAAAACATTGTGGAATTCTTACCTGGGAATAGATTTTTCACGACCCTTCGGGCTAGAGTTCCCTGCTCACAAAACAACCACATGGGATTTTCCATTAGTATCTACAGGAAACAACTATAGATGAGAGAAACAATATGAAAGAGTGATATAATAAGCTGTATCTTCATTTTCGGTGACACGTAAAACCAGTAAAAGATGTCAAATAACAGTCAACTCTAAAAGAAAGGACAAACTGTTTTGATAAAACGTTAAGATTCACAAGCATGGATTAACTGGCTCAATATGTATGGAAAATGAGAGCAAAAGATAATTGAAATTTTAAGACAGATCAATGAAAAATAATTACCCTTTTTCTGAATAGGTTTTGAAGGCATATCTCCCATCTCTTTCCTTCTATTAAGCACTTGCCTCCTCATCTTTGCGTCAAATTTGGCCTCATCGCCGTCGTCATCGTCTTCCTCACTATCTCCAATTGAACCAGATACAGCAAAGCTCTTATCCTTTTGAGTCCCTTCTTTCTTAGAACTAAGAGCTTCCCTCACAGACAGTGCTTCCTTTATCACAGCTGCATTCTGGATTGATTAAATTTTCCAATATACATCAGAAAGTCTCATATGCATGCTGATAACTTAAGAAGCACACTCATAAAAATCGCATAAGGTGCATTACATCAGTCATATACTACCAAGCATACAATGCAACAATTGGTAATAGAACAGTAAGCATTACTACATCAAGTAATCTCAAAAGGCAAGCAACATAAAATTTCTCTTAATTACATATAAAAATAAGCTGCCTCCAATTTGTTTATGTAACTTATCTACAAACTTTCAGACACAAGAGAACTAAAGAAGAGGGGAAAGGGTAAGAGAAAGGAACAAGATGGACCATATCATTACCGGTTCCTTGTCAGCAGTTTCCGATTTCAGGAGGCGAGGATCATTCAACACGTCATGGCTGCTCTTTATTTTTTGCCTCACAGCCGCCAATTCCTTCTCCTCTTCCTCAGCCTCTTCTCCAAATGATAGTAAACTCAGCTTCCTGATCATAGCAAAGACAACATACAAACTTCTAAGAGAAGCCAAAGCAATGCTAAATTTAAATTCTTGATTAGCAAGGCAAATCAGCTTACTTAATGCCCTTTTTTCTGGGTTCCTTGGTTTCAGTAGTAGCTAGAGATTCATCTGCTGCCTTTGCTGACATTCTAGGAACTATATCTTCAAAGGGATTCCACAAAACCTAAAGGAGTGAATTTCACAGAAAAAAAAATCAAGTAAATCACAAGAAAGATGATTCAGAGAATGAGAATCACAATACATAACAAAGTCCCATAATCAGAGACAACACCGACATCATCCGACAGCACAGAAACCTGTCAAAAAACTAATATCCACCATGTACTTAAAATTCCTACCTCAACAGATAATATTCTTGGTACAGGATCCAGGGGACGGTCATCTTTATCTGTGTCCACCTCGCCCAGTCTTAGAAGATTGAAGATTGAGTCGCCCGTCACCTAAGAAAGTGAAAAACAGTTACATAAACACATGATCAAGAACTCAAAATGAACAATTAAGCACTCTGAAACCCAGAAAAAGAACAAAAAAGGTCATTACCTTCCCAAAGATAGTATGCTTCTTATCAAGCCAATCACATTTATCCAAAGTCATAAAGAACTGACTACCGTTTGAATGCAGTGATCCCGCATTTGCCATCGCCACAATCCCTCGGTGATTAAACCTCAGTCTTGAATGGAACTCATCCAGGAAGGCGTCTCCATATATGCTCTCCCCTCCTGTCAACAAACCAAATTCATGAACATATCAGTGACGAAAATTTTGAAAACAAGCAACTAAATCACGGAAACCCATTACATTTCTCTTTGCAAACACCCTTTGCAGCACAAATTATGCATAAACAAACACATAAATACACACAGCCAAACAAACTACTTGTACACATACGTTCAGAATCAAACCAAATCAGAGAAGAACATATCAGAGATGCAAATCCGGAATCAAGCAACTCTATTAAGAAAACCCAGTAATATTCTCTTTAAAAGCACCATTTTCAGCTCAAATTGCACAGGTTCAAACACAAATGTGCACTATCACACATACTACCCTTACACATCTATCTACATACCGAATCAAACCGGTTCAGC